ATGATAAACCGATGGCATAACCGGATAATTTATTCAGATCAGATTTATTCAATTGTAACTGTCATCATTCAGCAATTGATAGGCTCTTTCAAAAATTAGCAAAAAAAAAAACAAAAGCACTCGTATTATATTATTTAATTGTAACTTAACACAATATCTCATATGACTCAAGCGGTCAACAATTTTAATTTTTTTTAAATTAAGCTTATTCTCATGACATTTCCAAAATAAATATAAGTACGTGTAAAAAAAAGATACTTTGTTATTATAATATTACTGTTCAAAATTTCGCTCAAACATAGCACTGCTCATTCAAATATAATTTTCCGATTAATCTGACATTTCTATTAATAAAATGACTTTTGCTGTCCATTATACAAATTTCTATGTGTGCTTCTGAAACGTAGAGTCTCATTGTCTATTGTACTGAGTATATGTATATATTTAAACTGAGTATATGTATATAATTTAAAGTTAGATATTATGTTTAATTTATAATCAGCAAGTAGAATCGGCAAGTGCAAATGTCGCTCGAAGATATTCCAGCCTGTTGCAGTGCTGCACAAAGCCATGACAAGGCAAACATTTACTGGAAGAAAGATAGTGTAGATAGTGTGTCGATGAATAGAGAGAGAGAGAGAGAGAGAGAGAGAGAGAGAGAGAGAGAGAGAGAGGAGGAGGGAGGAGGAGGAGAGAGAGACGAACAGTATATAGAAAACAGAGTAGTACGTAGTACGAGAAGAGACGAGAGTAGAGTAGAGAGAGAGAGAGACGGAGGAGAGAGAGAGAGAGAGTCGCTTATATATGCGTCGCATCAAACTTGGAGAACGGGTCAATGGTCTGTGAATTGCCGGCAAGATAGGAGTTCGCAATAGTCGTTTCGTAACGGTTACGTCGCGTTGCACTTCACGACACGCCGGTACAACCGACCTATCTGACGATCGCGAGAACGGAAACGTTTTTGAGACTATGTGAATATCGAAACTGTAGCTGTAACTGTCGACACTATGCGAATTCGGTATGCGCGAGCAAAATGATTGTTCCAGAAATTACCACTTTTAGAAATGTCGAGATGGCTATGTACGCGCGAGATTATTTCCTTTGCATTAGGGAATTGTAAAAATAATTACTTTATAAGTCTCTAGATTGTCGTTTGTCATTTGTCGTTGTGCGGGGCAATAATCCTATAACAAAATCGATAACTCATAATATGGACCGAGGAGAAACAAAATTTTAAAATGGAGCCAATCTTTATTCACTACTTATAAACTTTGTTGTAATTTCTACTGAAAAAAACCAATATATTTTTCTTTTTAATATTGTGTGAAGACAGAGCCTTCAATTCAATTCAATTCAATTTCTTATTCCCGAATAAAATATGTTTGCGATACTGTTCGCGATATTCAATAAAACCACCATTATATATAAATATCACGTTATACAATGCCAGTGGCAATGCCGTATACCATTCTGATATATCTCACATTAGCTCCAACGGAATTGTCGTTTGGAGTAACGATACCTTTGCTTATCATGTTTCCAGCTATTATAGCCTTAACGCATTACCTTCCGCGGGAATTGCGGGAGGAGACACTAAGAGATGCGGTAGAGATTATCTGCAATGTTCCTAAATTTCTGAAGTAATATCTCGAGAAATAACCGGAGGTAAGAGTGCCATGACTTTACAGAGAATAATACAAATAATAATAACCGTACAAAATTCGCCGTCACGAGCTCCATTATCGTACCTCTTCAAGACGTTACCTGGCAATATCGAAACTCACGGTGGAGTTTCCAGACCATATGCCTCTCTCGATTCGGGTAGATCCCTCGGAAACGGCAAAACGCGATCGTATATTCACGATGTAAATGTTTAAAGAGCGCCTTGCGACGTTACGGTAATTTTCGCGCGGATTAGAAATAATGTTCGCAAGAGCGACGGCAATTACGAACAGATCCTATCCTTGCGAGAGAAGAGAATCGTATTGTTCTTTTCACAAGAATAAACGACAGGTAACTCGAGAGTGTCGTATGATGACAAAAGTGTTACGCGATGGTCGAGCCAATTTCTGCCACCATTTGAAAATTAAACGATAGAGAAAATATTTATGAGCACTTTACTAAATTAGCTCTGTGCAAAATGTGCGTTATATAAAATTAAAATGCGTGGCGGATTGAATACACAATCCATTGCGAGCGTGACGACAAGACGACGTCCGAAAAATTATATTTATTCAAGTGAATTGCGAGTGTAGGCGTTCCTAGGCAGAAGATTAATTACTGCGAAGAGAATAAATTACGAAGTATATTAACCTAATTAAGTATCATATTTTTTTTTTTTATGAAAATGGAAGAATTATTCTTCTATTATTTTAATATAATTTTATAACATGTTGCACTCTTAAGAAATTAAAAAAGCACATGAAATTAAAATGCGTTGGAAAGTTTGCATTACTTTTGCGATTATATTTTGTAAATAATATCGATCACTTCTCGCATAATATTTAAAATGAAAAGAATAATGACTATAAATCCTTTCTCGTTCTAGTATATCTTGATGAATTTTCCACATCATACGAAGTCGGAAGCGCCCAAATTCACAGATAAATCAAATTAGAACTGAACATTCCTCTATTTTCGATTGCTCGCAGGAGATTGCCGCTTAAGATAGTTAGCGCAATTCGCTGTGCTGCGAGGTGAACTCGATTTGTACCTCTACGGATATAGTCGATCCGAGTAACTCTCCGTAATTTCATGCCGTCGACAAATACTGTTGGATCTCGTGAAAACACGTATGTACCAACTCACCTAAAGACGCTCTCATCATAGGATAGTAGAATTCGTACTGGTTGACTGATGCTACGTTTTTTTACTTCGTGCGCTGGCTCGATGTGCACGCCGTGAATTATCTGAAAAATAAAGGCAAAATTGGATTAGTGTTCGCGTGGAACTCGCGCAATTCAACACACACACACACACACACACACACACACACACACACACACACACACACACAACAACACTAACGCGCAACAGTTGAAATCGTGACAGTGCTTGAGACATAATTATATTTGTTTCGTTTGCATAAATAGCAAAGTAAAACAAACAATATTAAATTCATTATGCTCTGTAATCATATAGGTATCTATATGTACGCCGTACGGAGTTTCATTCTCATGAATATTTTTTTATTGTAAGAAATATTTTAACATGTTTGACCAATAATTATTTTTGTTTGCGATCAAACAATTCTATATATAACTATATATAACTAATTTTGACATTGTTTAGTTTGCTTTTACAAATGCCACATTAAAATCGATTCAGTAAATCCAATAAAAACATACAGATAAATTTCTATCTATTCCCGATATATCTGAATTTATCAAACGATCCTCCTTTGAGGACTTTCTCTCTACTACAGGATATAAATTCTTTTTTGATTTATGGAGCATGAAGTTAAGCATAGATACGCTTGTGTAAAAGGTCAAAAAGACGAGATATCTTGCATTTGAAATTCAAAGTTCAGCATGGTCGAGAGTCGTGAATGCTCACGTTAAAGTCTATTCCGCGCGATAATTGGTCGTCAAAAGTTAAGCTCGTTACCGACAGATCTTAATTGAAGATGCGCTAACTATATTGAATCGTGCCTGGTATTATGATATCAGCGGTGCGTGAACCTGATATGCTCTTCGATGATGCTTCAGGTTGCGAATTCTACGGTGCGGCGACTGCAATCTCGCGCTCGCAGGTATAGCAGCTTGCGGCAAAGGCCGCAGCCGCGTTTATAGAGGTTATAAGAGGGAAGAGACAGGTGCATAAACTAGGTATAAGTTCTGGTTAACTTCAACACTGTCGAGCTTCAGTCAGAAGTTGCGAGCGATAGAGCCACAGAACCGAAAGGAGGTAATGGATAAACGGGCGTGAAGAGAACTTAAACAAAGTGAGGTGCTACAACGAATTGCATTGTTCGCGACAGGGTACGAGACTTCATCGATTAGTTAACGTTCTAATTTACAAGAACAAGATGAATGTGAAACAACGATAAATTGATTACGTATTACATAAATCGAATTGCCGTATTTAATTGTGCAGTCCAATTACGGCGAGAACAGATTTAATTTATCAGGTTTAATATATATATCGATTAATTCGGCACTTCGTAAGGAGCTTTCGCCGCGAGAAAGATTTGGCCTGGTGGGCCCGACACTTCGTTTAATAGAGCTCCATGTAATCGAGGAAGGTCACCGTTCGTTGCCTCGTCGCAATGGGCGTGCTTGTTAGAAATGCAATTATGCGAAGATCCACGTTAAGTTTTAATCCGATCCACTTTTATACTTGCGGAGAGTTTGCGTCCTGCGCGGAAAGCTTCTTAGTGATAATGCGATATCTTAAGAGGATAGGAGTGGCATTAACTGCGCCAGCCAAGGAACGCAGAGAGGACCACGAAGACCGGATCGAAGGTCGAAGTTAAGATGCAGCCGCGCTCAGGTATCACGTATATAGAAGATAACGGTAGCTAAACCACGCGCACTCCATCGTAACTTACAAACCACTCTAGCGAATAGTGCTCTCTTAATTATCAAACTTTAGACCGCTCCTAATTTCTATCCTTATACCCATGGTCTATTCAGTAATACGACGGGATGCGCGTGCCAATGTACTGCTCTCAACCAGGAAATATCTTCCACGTGAACGTTCTAACGTTAAAGTATTCAAATATTTAAATTGTGTATATTTATTATACGCGTACGTATGGACTCGTTAAAATTGAACTTTTACATGGCAATTAATTTCAGAGTTCTTAATAATGTTCATATTCATTTTCGTAAATTCATTTAATTAAATATTAATTACGTAAATTTTAACTAGGTTGACGTCAATTAAATTAAATTAAATTTCGAGTTCATAACATCGACGCAGCTTTTAAAATACATTGTTTTATTGTACCCACACATAAGATAATAACGCAGAGATAATTATTGATAATGAGAATCGATGAAATATTAATTGTCCAATTCTGTTATATATGCATATGTTGCATCTATGTTAAAGAAGAATTCAATAAATATATTTAATATAATGACATTACTATCAATCCAAGAGACTAATCTTGGAAAGAAAATAATAAGATTAAGCAAGTGAACAATAAAGATAAAAGTGGGAAACAAGAAAATGGAAGTCTACAAATATCCCGCAGAGAAATTCTATAAGCCTCATCTATCTTTTGTTATTGACCTTAATTGAAGACCAGCCAGAATAGTCAGCACTAAGATGATTTCCTTTTTTTAGAGAATCAATATTTTCCAGTGCTATGTCCACTGGTCGTATAGCAACAGTAATGATGTAAACAAAAGGTGGTCAACTTTTTTGTCTTTTGCGTACCATTATGAATGTTTGAAATTTTTGATGTGTGTAGTTTGCCATAAAATTAAAAAAAAAAAGGTAATCGTACTTTTTTCTCTTGTATTAAAAGCTTCCTTTGAAAAGGCTTCTTTCGTTTCGATAAAGTTTATTATCATGTTTTTTTTCTTTTCATTTAACAGCGCTTTAGGCGTGTGTACTAATGGTATGTGTACACGTGCGGCAGGTTGACCACCTCTGATGTAAGCGATATTAACAAGCTATATAAAGTTTAACATTATTAAAATCGATACAATTGTCATCAATAGTTTCAGAAACATTATAATAGTTTCTAAAATAATAAAAGATAAATATTATTCAAATATATAAAATTAAAAAACAAAAAAATGTTTGCACAAGTATATATCCATAGGCATAATCGTAGATTAAAATTACATTTCTTTTTTACAAGGAAATGCTTTTAGAATCATGAAAAAAATTGAAAAATATTTATAATATACATATATTTATTTATTTTATGTCCAATCTAAAAATACTAAATAATCTAAAAATTTAACATGTTTTTGCTTTATTTATTGTTATTCATTATTTGATAAAACCAATATTTCTTATCTCTTTGCATCTTTCTTCAGAATCCTGTGCGATAACATATTGATTAAGGATAGGAGCTAAAAGGATTGAGGTTCGTTCCTACAATTCACTTCAAAGGGAAAGACTTGCCTGTTACTCTCTAAGGAATAGAAAAGCAGCTACCATGTTTACTCACTCGTGCATTTCTGTAACCGACACGAGCCAGTCACATTTCACTATTCACATTTTCAAAATTAAATTATCTGCAGCAGAAGAAAGCACAAAATGCATAATAAGGATTTATAATAACAGAATACCTTTCGTTGTTTTCTACATTGGACAATGTATAAATATAATGTTACCATAATACGTCATTTTAATAGCGATTGTTAATTATGACCGTACATATTTTTAGCGAAAATGGCGAGCAAGATAAAATATATCCAATACACGTTTGTACGAATGTATCTATTTTTCCGGGTGAGAAAGTGCCTCGATGCACTTCGATTTATCATACATCTACGCGTCGAAATAGGGATCGGGGGGGGATGAAGAGATCATGGAAACCGAGCAGGTGAGCAATTTCCGTGGTAGCCGTCTACCGTGATATACCCGTCTCTTTCGTACCGCATTTACACGCGGTACGATGGAAATTTTGTGTTTCCTGCATGTCCCTGCATTTTTATGCGCCTCCTTTTCCCAACGGAAACATAAATAACTGAACATCGATCGCCTTGAGGCTTTATTCTGACACGCCTCATCAAATGGTAAGGAATGAATTGTTGATTATTACCATCCACGAATATACCAATCGTGATTACATCGTCTATTTTCGAATACCGTCGATGTTCCATTTAGACGCATCTGCATGATGCATAATTTAGCTCCGTATCCATTTCCATTTAATTTTTAAAGCATCGGTCGATGTAAAATTTAATTTTTCACATACAAGGATCCAAGCGCGCATGCAACGTGATACGTTTGATATGACTAACAAAGGAACCAAAAAATACATAAAACATCAAATATAAACTACAAATTCGCAATGTATATAAATCTTACATCGTACTAACGTAAAATCACAATCATTTACTAGCTATTAAATTAACTAACATTTACTAACTATTAAACAAATAGTCCAATTTTCAATATTATTAACAACTTTAAATATATTTTTGTGAAGATTCTGATGGCAGGTCAGTCATGGATCGTGAATTTGTTCGGCGAGTTTTTCGAAACAATCTATTTTCGAAATCCAGCGGAATGTTACGCTGTTTTTCGAAGTAGTGCGAGTCGCTCGGCGTCCATTCAACCAGAGAGGTTGGGGAAACGAAGAGATTGATCTACGGCGGAAGTTGCGCGCGTGAATTTGAGGACATTATCTGATCGCATGGAGAAAGTAATTTATGGGAGTAGTTTAGCTGTGCGCGATAAAACAAATTCCATGCGGAAGAATGAACCGAAGAGCGCGAGCAAATTCTCGAAATTCCCGGAATCCTTTATTCCGAGTCCTACGTTTTAATAGCTTTAATTAACCGGATGTAGACTTCAAGCAATTGATCGTATTGTTATATGGGGACCGTGTCTAATTAAATTCTTTGCCGTTTCAGCAATATAATTGCGCAATTTTGACATATATACAGTTACAGGATACAATTACAGAAGAGCTATATAGCAAGTTTAACGAGAGTTTATATATATATATATATATATATATATATATATATATAGAGCTTATGTTAATCGATATTTTTAGAATTTCTATACCATTGATAAAATTTTAGTACTTTTTTTTACTTTCTCAAAAAATTCTAGAATTCCAGACAAACTTTCAAAAAAATTTTACACAATTATACATAAGAAACGGACAAAATATAATGCCAATTTTTGTTATATAAAAATTGATTAGAATTTTTATTTCAGAATGTATTTAAATTAAAATACAATAATGTTTTTCAAAAATCAAAGATCTTAA